AGTGAGGAAAAAGAGAAGAAGTGAGAGAGGGAAAATGATGTAAGAGAGAGAGAGAGAGATGCAAGTCCCTCACAAGTCCCTCACAGGTCCCCGGTCAACACATGATGATAACTTTGTAAAAAAAAAAAAACTATCAGCGTCTAAAATTAAATTATAGTTGGTTAAGTTAACTTCACATTTCACATTTGCTATTATTTATATACCGGCACTATTTATATGTACAATGGAAACAAAGGTAACGTGTGTGTGTATGTGATGATTTTGCTCTATCTATCTATCTTTTTTTTACGGGGATTAGCCCACCCTGGCACAGGTGACTGACCCACATCAGGGCCTGGGGGGCGAAAATGTAATAGTAATAATAATAATAATAATAATAATAATGATAATAATAATAATGATAATAATAATAATAATTCATAGTAAATTAAATTTATAATAAAAAAAAATACTACTACTACTACTACTAATAATAATAATAACACTAATAATAATAATAATAAAGAACCATAAAGAAATATAAAAAAATCATTAGTGAGAAACAATACTGTGCATTATATGTATGTTGTGTTGCCAGAGTAAGAGAAACAATTGAGACCCTGCAATTGTGTGTAAATGAGGCAGAAAGTCAGATGAGCAACCTGGGACTTGGTCACAATTTTCGTGATGCCATATGGCAGCAGGGTCTACCATTAGACAACACATTATGCTTCCAATATCTTCCCAGGCGGTAGTACTTCCCTGATTGGTAGCTGCCTACTACCTACTACCTATCTATCAAGGTTACAGATTGCAGTTCATATTGACAGCTATACTTTGTAAACGAAAGCCTCTACGCCCGTGTCTTGGTGTAGAACATTGTTATTAATTCTATTTTTAAACAATGAAGAGATTAAACTCCGATAAGGTGATTCACTTAACCTCAGAACACAAACACTGAGGCTCCTGCTAAAACTTGTTGATGATGGTTGTCTGGTTTAGTTCGTTTTCGTATTTCAGCAAAGCTAATGTGAACTGTCAACAAAATTTCAACTTTTTGTTACTTAATATTTATCAGATTTTAATTGTGACTACTCTGTCCCCTCCTCACTCTACCACCATTTCTCTCAGGTATTTGTGTTGTTGTATATAGTTGGTGTTTTTAATGTTTAAAGTAAGAATAATTGGGTAATATTCTGGTGTGCTTTAATAGATACATAGTTGTTACTTTTGTTTTGATAATTGCATATTTTGTTTTACTTGTGTTATTTAATATACCTAATTAACTAACTTAATCAATACTTAATATAAATGCTATTAAATTACTTAGCTTACATGAAAATCTTATTATCCACGTAGTTCAGCCCCTAGATTATTCACTCTGTACTTTAACTTGTCAACTTTGCCTTTCCTCAATGTTATGGGTAACAGGGAGGGACATCACATAGTTCATAAGAAAATTGGTTAACTTTAAATTTTTCTTTTAATTTTGAAGTCTAAACAAGAAGCTGAAACTAAGGGACACGATTAGTTTGTTTATACACATCCATAACGTTATATTTATTATTTGGACACCTTTGTTCGTGTACAGGTAGTTGTGTCAGTGTGTGTCCAATGATATTCAAATAAAGGTCATATAAAAAATAGTATACCATGTTTAGAACAGTTACATTTTCTTTGAATTCTCGCTGCTTCAAGTTTTTCTGACCGGAGATTCTTAAGGGTAACTCCGTCATATTATAAAGCTTTCTACGGTGAGTCCAGCTGTTGTTGGGTTTGATTTTTAGATGTATTCAAAATTCATATCACAACCAACACGAATTTTAATTTTTTTAGGACGTGTTCTTGTACTGTCATGCTACTGTTGTGGAGTAGAAATAAATGAAAGAGTGGAAATAAATGGTAGTACATACTGATTGGAAAAAGGTTCTCAGTGGGCCCAGACTGTTTGTGATCTACATAAACATATATGAAAATATATCGAATCTCATCAGGTTTCAGGACGACACGGATATATTTGGGAAGGTAGGAAGTTAAGACGATGTTGCAACAATGCAGAAAGACCTCCACGAGCTGTACAGATGATCTCAAGACTGGGAGATGTTCTTTAACTTTACGAAATGTAAGACCTGACACGTAGAATTAAAAAAAAAAACATAATCATAAAGCGTACCTTCAGATACAGAGATGTAAAAATGCTCCTTCTACTGCACAAATCTCAAGTACGTCCCAGTCTGGATTACTGTATACACGCATAGAGGGATCCTACACAGGCCACTGACCTCCGTCCCGCGGCATGGCCACCTCTAGTAAAAGAGATAAAGAAGAAACCTACAATAACAGACGAAATTTTACTGAGACCATTTTATTTTTCTTAGTACAGGATGATGTTAGACCGATGGTAGCAGAGAAAGGAAACTAGCCATTGTGGTGACGAAAAATAACAGCTCTTCTAATACTCTGACTGAATTACTCTAGTTACCCTTACCTGCTGTGTTCTCTTTCGGTTGCGGTGCCTCAGCCCAATTGTCTAGTTTCTCAGGAGTAATTTTTTTTTTTACAAAGTTTTCTGTATTGTTAACTTGACCGCCACCTGTATGTTGAAATGGTAGATCTTGTACAGTTTGTTTACATGATGATTTTTTCTGCTGTTTATTCTGCCAATTTTTTTTCCTTTTGGTTGATGAAACTTGTGTCTACTTGTGTCTCGTTTCATAGCGTTTCGTGGTGTTGTAGTGGATTTCTCCCCTACAAACGCTGTTTGTCGCTGAGTAGCCGACCCCACCAATTCCCCAGTGTATGCCTCGTGGTCTAGGTCAGCCAGCGCCGCCATACATCACAGAGCGGGGGTCAACTAGTAAGCCACGCCTACCCCCCGCTATTTAAGACCTGACCTCGTGGTGACCAGTCTCTTTTCTACCTACACCAACCAGCCAGCAACACCTCCTCCTCCGCCTGCCTGGCGGTCCTCGCTCCCGTCAGCGAGCATGGCGACCCACAAGCTGGTCCTCCTCTGAGCATCCTCACCAACCAGCTCTCTCTACATCACGTTTGTAACCATGCTGCCTTCCCAGCACCAAGCTGCATTGTACATCCAATACAACATGTATATAGAGAGCACATTGTGAGTTTCCTTTCTCCATCCCATCCTGCGTGAACACCAAACATCCCATACCCCACAGTGTTTCGTGGTGTTAGTATTAATGTTTTATATTGATGTTGATGCTGTTAACGTTATAATGTTTTACTCTACTTCAACATTTAAGGTCTTATAAGTGAATATTTTAAGTTAGTAATTTACAGTATTTATTTATAATTATATGAGATAAAACAAATGTATTAGTCTTTTAAACTTAATAGCTGAATTATGTACCTTTGAATTTATACTATTTTCTAATATAATCTTCCTGGATTAGAGCTTCATTAATTATATATAACAAATTTAAAACACCTGTTATTATTTTATGGTTATTTGTACTTATACCATTTATTTTATTTCCTTCATTACAATAATTATAAGTTATTTCCAATTATATTATTAATCTGATATGTGTGAATTGCATAAATACACAATATATCAGCTTTCATAAACTCTCAAACTTAACACTTGATAAATATAAATTCAATAAATATATCAATACATTTATATATATACACACAAACAATGCCCTACAAAAGCTTCCCTCCTGTGACTTATTAACAACTATGAATAACAAGTCATCTGTAAACACTAATAAATTCGTATAATAAATAATTCTTAGTCTATTACTACAGGTTGACATTTGTAACACTAGTTCACTGTAGATTACAATGACTCACAATATAATGTTATAAATATGTCACTATAATATGTAATAAAATGCCTGTAATTCTAAGGTACAAGGAAGGTATATAATTTATGTAGTATGTTTAGCATCGTCACCTGCTCCTCTGCTTACACCTGATCCTCTACTTACACCTGATCCTCCACTTACACCTGATCCTCTACTTACACCTGATCCTCTACTTACACCTGATCCTCCACTTACACCTGATCCTCTACTTACACCTGATCCTTTGGTCAAAACAGAATGAACCTCGACAGTGTATTTCATAGGAAAATAAATCCCATTGATGAGGAATTTGCCTTTTGTGTTGTCCCATGTTAACCTGATCACCAAAGTTGTTGTTGTCGTTTATTTTTTTTAGGAATAGTTGTTATTTTACTTATTACATATTTATCTTATTCGTAAATTGGATAGTCGGTCAGTTGTCTAGTTGTCAGTTGTGTTATCAAGTCCAGACAAAACTGAGTTGGTAGAGACTTGTAGTATGTACCTTTCCAATGCCTGGGTTATCCAAGCATCCACGACAAGTCCTTACAAGTTTACAAGAGACATCTTTTTAAAACAACTATGATGACACTAAGTTATGTCATTCGTACTATCTTGACTTTGATCTTCTGGCGCATTACTGCTCTTCAACCACTTAAAAAATTTTGAAGTGCGTAACTAAAAAAATTTTCCTGGTCAAAGATAACTATACGTCTATGATAAATCAATAGAGTGAAAGCCTATCAGTATAAGACCCTATGTAAATATATGATATGTTATGATTCCTAGCGCCATCTATCAGTCCTCCCAGCTGCTCACATTACCCAGGTTATCTGAGGGTTGGTGATCACAGTCCTCTACTCTAAACGTTCTGGGTCTGTTCTTACCGATCCACCCAAGTCCCTGCCTTCCCCTGGCCCTCCTAACCCCCCCGCCCTCCTTTTGCCAACTTTGCCTATTAATATTTCTGTTATCATTCCCTCATCCCTAATAATACGATCAAATTATCTCATTTTTCATTTTCTCTACATTTCAAGTATTTCTCTTGAAGTTTTTACTAGTCTTAGTACTGGATTTATCTTCGTTTTATTTCTTATCTTAATGGCTTTACTCTTTTCCATTTATCTCCTCTAAATCTTTGTCATTGAGTAAATTTGAACTGTTCTATTACCACCTAATATCCCCTAGTTTCCTCCTCCTCTTTCCTTCTCTAATTCCTCCTGTGTCTTCTTCCTTCTCCAGTTCATGTCCTTTTTTTTGCTCTCTTCATATACAGGGACATCAACTGAGGGAGAAAACAAGTGTTCAGACGGACGACTAGTAATAAGGCAGGAGTTGCTCCCTGGAGGTTATTTGAGGGTGCAGGTGTTGTCCTCCTGCTCACAGGTGGCTGGTCGACCCTCCAGTATGAGACCAGTAACCTCGTCCAATAGCTGACCTGACCTCTCGGCTCCCAGAAGGTGAGCTACCCCGGCCCTGAAAAAGGAAACACGAACAACATACAATATAAATCAATGCAAAGTAATACAATGCTATCTTTTGCAACACAGTATAATGGCTACACGCCTTGCTATCTCCCAGAAACTGAGAGAGGATGGATTTAGTATAGGTGGTTCATTAGAGACACAGGAATAATATATCAATGATAAGTGAAGGAACATCTTACACAGCGAGTCGCCGGAGGAGATCATTGTCTGCGTGGCCGTGGTCGATAAGGAAATTGAAGAGCGAACACCTGACACAGCCGAAGTAATTCTCGTGTTCCCACCACAGGGAGTTTAGCCCCTGGACCAAGTCGTCCGAGTCGTCCTGGTGTAAAGGCAACGACCTTTTGGACTTGTATTTGTTCTCGGTGTCCTCTAGCATGCTGTAGATGGAGTGAACAACACTGGGCACGTCTGACAGGTCCCTCAAGTAGAGGTCCTTCGAAAAGTGTCTCCCGAAAGAATCGTCCTCCTCCTCCTCGGTGGTCACGATGATCCGGTAGGCCAAGAAAGCCAACAACACAGAGGCTCCAAGACCACCAAGGATGAGGTACGGATCCAGCTGTATTCCAGAGGCGTATCCTCCACTTAATCCGAATCCTCCCCCTCCGGCTGATCCGTAGCCCCCTCCCCCTCCGGCTGATCCGTAGCCCCCTCCCCCTCCGGCTGATCCGTAGCCCCCTCCTCCTCCTACTGGTTGAGTGCCATAGGAAGAGTAGGAATCGTCGTATGCACCGTATCCTCCATACCCATATCCTCTGGCATATTCACTTTGACCATAGCCGTCGTGGTATTCAGAATAGCCCTTCCTGTTCATTAAAGAACGACCCTCAGCAGCTGCAGAGCGTTCTAGTGGGCCGTTTAGTATTAGATCGAGTCCCTTGGCTGCCATAGGACTCGTTTTGGCCAGGTTAGTGCTGAATTTTTCGAGGTCCTCCCTCGTGACGTAGTTTTCTGCCACTTTCAGCACGTGGCCGACGAACTGATGAATAGCTTTCCACGCAGCGTCCCTCACGATACCACTAATGGTGTTGGACACGCTGCCTCCCAGCATCCTGCTAGCGGTCACGCTCTCGAAGTGAGTCAAGAGAGGCTTTAGCTGGTCTCCTATGTACTCTGTCAGCCCCGGGTCCACTCTCTTCCCAACTAAGTGGAGGAAATTCACTCTGTCACCGAGGCTGAGGACTTTGTTGATCAGGTTTAGTGGCAGCTTCCCGCTCAGGTGTTGGACTTCATACTCGTGGTCCAGCCAGTTTGTGTAACCGAGAGCCAAGGACTTGAATTGACCCCAGGCGTCGCTTCTGACGCCGTCTAGGTAATTCAACAAATCTGAATTTTCACCGATGTGGTTCTCTTCTGCGGATGATGATCCATCCATCGGCACCAGGGGGAGGAAGGTCATGTTGCTGAGTTCCTCCATAATGTCTTTCAACGGTGCTAGTTTGGTCGGCTCGATTTGTTGTTTGACATTTTTCTTCGTGGGTGAACCTTGAACCGTGATGTCAATCGCCCCAAGTTCGAACAGGCTTCCCAATACGCTGTTTTCTGTAGTGGCCTTGGCGTAGTGGTCGACCCCGAGAGGTGTGGGTGTAGTGGAGGGGGGCTGGGAGGTGGTGGGTGACCTGGGAGTAGGATCAAGATCCTTACCCATGATCAACTCCGACAGAGACCCGGGAACTTGTCTGCCACTGGGAAGATTGTAGAGCTGGTCTTTCAGAGTATACAGAGACCCCAAATGAGACTTCAGCATCCCTAGAGGGCTGAACGCTGAGCTGGGACTGGCTACTAAAGCCTCCAGTATCAGCAATATCTGCCACTTTGACACAAATATCTGAAATGATTGATATAACTGTCAGATGGCACTGATATAATATATATATATATATATATATATATATATATATATATATATATATATATATATATATATATATATATATATATATATATATATATATATATATATATTGTATTTTGTGTGTGTGTGAAATAATAATAATAGTGTGTGTGTAATGATAATAAGTAACACACACTCTCCTTCGATCTCCATTAGAATCACCTGAGTGAAGACGATACTTAACGTCCTCCTCCCACACCCACTTCACCTATAACCTCAGGACAGCACCCCCACCCTCCCCTCCATCCATAACCCGAGGACAGCACCGGTTCCCCCTTGCCGCCAGCACCAAGTGGCACCATTATAGAGGTCAGGAGTGTGCGCCGCCTGGGAGGGTATAGTGGCCAGCTAACTGTGGCAGTAGCTGAGGGCTGAGTCCGTGCTGCCTTCTCGTGGCTTATATGTTAACGCTCTCTCATTTCCGCCTTGCTGGGTACTGTAAGACGCCCCTTACCGGCTTACTGTATCAACGTCACAGATTATAAAAGTGGACATGTCCTTAGAATTGCCGTGAGACTGTACCGTGTCTAATGTGGCCTTATTATGGCTCTTTTTAGGAATTATGGTTGACGAATACGAGCTGCTTATGAGCCCTGCAGTACACACACACACACACACACACACACACACACACACACACACACACACACACACACACATACAGACACACACACACACATGTACGCTCAGGAGTTTGAAAGAGTTAACTTAGCAGTATGAATGAGGAAACATAAGATTCACGCTTAGATTTGCCCACACAGGAGCGGCAGTCTTTCGCTGGACACCGCCCTGCTTCCTGCACGAGGTGTAACCAATAACATTACACTACACTCCAGGGAAACTTGTTACTTGTCTTCTGAGATTTATATGGTAGATGGATGAAGGTGCTTGAGGGGGCCTTTGGTTGTGTCACAAGCTACAAACACTGAAGGAGAGATGTAGACACACAGACACGAGTTTCTGTTTAGGTTTATCTAGTGGGTAAGGTCCCTACCGCCAGGGTGGCTGAGTCAGGGTACAAAGTTTACACATAATGCGGCCAGGCTCAGGGTTGTCCCAGTAGTGTGAGGGGCAGTCCTGAGGGCGGGGTTAATCTGGGCCACCGCCTTAGAGGCAGCTGAACCTGTATGTTCAAGGGGAGGGGGGATGACCAGCTGACTACCCCACCAACCTGACCCACCCCCGGGTGTACATTAACGGTGGTCGATCTTAACAGTAAACTGCACTAAAACATTTGGTTTACACAAACACACACACACACACACACACACACACACACACACACGCACACACACACACACACACACACCCACACACACCTTTTGTATTTAGTGTTATAACTCAATGAAAATTAATTTGCACATGATAAGATTTGCTGTTTCGATTATGGCGTCGTTTACTATCATTATGTAGCAAGATTATACCTGAAGTAGGTTACGTTAGGTTAGATTAGGTTAGGTTTTGAATGAAATTATTAATTTATATGTATTTTTATGATCTACCCCTGTACATGATTGTCTATGGTCAGTCAAAAGTTTCCCAAAAGGAAAACTACATATTAATTATCCGCATATATATAATCAACACCTCAACCCGCCAAGATTCGAACCCACGGCCCACAAGCCTATAAATGTGACCGGGAACGCTAACCGCTGGACCACCAGGATACTAAAAGCAGTCCTAGACTTTGTTATATTTCACACAAAGCCTGTTCAACGAGCTTATGGCGCCGCCATAAGCTCGTTGAACAGGCTTTGTGTGAAATATAACAAAGTCTAGGATTGCTTTTAGTATCCTGGTGGTCAAGCGGTTAGCGTTCCACGGTCTCAGTCATAGGCATGTGCGCCGTGGGTTCGAATCCTGGCGGGTTGAGGTGTTGATTGTATGTAGATGTCCGCGTGCTTTATTGGGCTAATGAAATATATACACAGAGACAAGCAAAACAATCTATATAATCTACAGTATAATGGTCTCACTTACCTTTGTCATTTTGGGTGTTGAAGTTCACGGTGGCTGTGGCTGACACCTTGTGGATGACACCTTGTGACCGACACCTTGTGAACGACACCTTGTGGATGACACCTTCTGGACGACACTATACGGTTAATAACTTACAGCAAACAATAATACATGACAGGCAACATAGGACACCTTACATAAGAACTCCTACAGATGACACGTTACGGATCCTTCAGGTGCTTCTTACCTGCCCGTCACACCTCAGGTAGATAAAAATTGGTTGTCACGTGAGACAGGGTGACATGTGGTCCTTCACGGCACAGTCAACACGCTCATGGGGGTGATGCCAGACTTCCTTGTGAGGTTATGTCTCTTCTTTAAGGTAAAACTTCCTCTCTACCGTATGATAACAAACAGAGAAATTTTAGCTATTGATGGAGGATAAACGACGGATTCCTCTTCTCTCTAATACGAAAAAAAAAACCAGGCTTACTCTTCACAGTGTTTCAATTAACGGAGTCGGGACGTGAATACTTTCCTCATACAGTGTGTCGACGCGTAAAGCTTTCCTTCTCACAAAGCTTCAACAAAGGTCATCTGTCAGCTTGTAATCCTCACCTCTGAGCAGAGAACATCCGCCAGTCTTAAAATATTTACTGGCTAATCCCAACGACCAATATCAGAGACACTGTATAATCCTTAACGTCATCAGGAGCATTAGTCAGCAGTCCACAGTGTCAGCAATAAGAGGACTTAACTGCTGTCTCTATTTGGAGAAGCTAGCAACAGCAGGGCTGACAATACACATTGTCACCAACAAAAAGAACTACTAATCCATTGTCAGCGGTAACTTCCGCTCTTGGTGTCAGCAGCGTTGAATATAACAAGTCCTTAAAATGGACACTACAACCCAAGCGTCAGCCAGGCAGGTGGAAGGAGGGAGAGCGAGACAGTGAGACAGTCTCTCTCACACCAGCAACGGAGGTAGAATGAAGCACACAGGCACCCGGCTGATATTATCCCCGACCCCTTCTTTCTCCTCCTCCTCCTCATCTTCCCCTTCCATCCCCCCCCGTCCCCCGTCCCTCCTGCTTATCTCCGCTCCAAACTTTCAGAGCGGATCAAACTTCTTAGAATCCTCGTTGGTAAAATCTGTGGAATGAACACCTCTCATGATTGTACGTCCTACCTCCTCCTCATACCTCCTGTAACTAACTATCCCACTCTGGATCTTATTACTCTTCCTTATAAACAACTAATCAACCTGGAAATAAAATACAATGGAGTCATGCGAACCATCTTATGAGGACCAAAAACAACCAGAATTCTTTTCTTGTGATGATCATTATCGTGAGCTTGAGGGAAGAGCTCGGGTTGCCTTCGTTATGAGAGATCTTCCCTCATAATGCCATCATTGATGTTTGTTAACTTCTGAACAATAATAGCCCCCCTCAAACTGGGTTGAAATTTTGTCTTGGTATCAGTCCTGACTGTCTCTCCACGCTTTCACAAAATCTAAATTACAAGGCTTCGTAAGGGTGACCATGAATGTAATAATCCTTCTTGCTGAAATATTCAATCACTTTCCTCCTTGGAGAGATGTGTGAAGTCCTATTCATTAGTGGAGATAGTCTACTGACCCTTGTGTACGGGGTCGACTCTGTGCTGAATATAATGTTAAAAGTGGCGTCCCGTAGTGAGGGGGTCATAAATACTGCACCTGTGACGTACACAATACTAGAACCTATTGACTGTTATCTAAGGAGCATTGAATTTAGTGAATGGTATGCTTATAATGATGATTATGTGTAGCCAATCACAGGTAGATCAGGTTGTGTGTGTGTAATGTATAGAGTGAATAAGGCGACAGTGTCATCCATGTAAAGACTCCACAACTGGGCCACCACAACCTACACTGAACTTATGGGAATATACGTATAAACTGATGTGATATTGTGACAAATAATGATTTAGAAGCGTAGGACGGCCCACTAGCCTAAATGTCTAAAGTGGTATGCGATGACTGACATGGAGAACAACCTTCGTACTGAACTTGTGTGGATCCTATCCTAAGTTGGGATTAGGAAAGAATGAAAATATAGACAGTGACACAGAAGAACTAAGCAACACAGAGAGACCTGGTAGCTGTAGCATTAATAAGTAGAACAAACATTGTGAGATGAGTTACCGATACGACCAGAACAGACAGAACCATATGTTGTGATATAATCGTGTCCAGGATCCAGCTTCAGGATACGGGCACATGTGGCCAGTTAGTGAGGCTATACCCATAACCAGGACACTCAACATGTAAACTTTGTGGTAAACCTTTAAAGTATACTATTGAACCTTATATTACAGAAGGTTACACTGGCGGAGAGTTTACACCTGTTGGTCCACAGGTATCACCAATTATATAACTACAGTATATACTTTATTGAATCAAATCTTCAAAGGATGTGCTTAATACTATAGTGTCCACAGTGTTAAGTTGTGATATGATATTAGTGTAGTGGGTGTTACCTGGGTGCCAGTGAACGATAGCAGTGCCACCTGATTGTTTTATTCACAATAGGCCAAATTTTACTCCAATCTTGTTATTAAAGTTGTTAAAATAAAACCCTACATTCCTCTTTCCTCCCCCATCCCTTCATTCTTCCTCTCTCCATCCCTTCTCTCTCCCTACATCCACCCCTTCCTCCATCCCTCCCTCCCTCTTGCCCTTCTTCCTCCCTATCTCTCTCTTTTACCCCTCCCTCTCCCCCCCCCCCTCTCGCCTGGAGGAGCTGGCAGAAAATTTCAACACTAGTGATCCCAAAACAAAATATACAATGTGAAAGTCGAAGAAATGGAATGGGAAGAAATATTGACCAGTCTGACCTCCTTGGTATTGAAGATGTGTGTGTGTGTTTACGTTGATCATACGCCCGCCACCACCGTCCACGCCTGAGTTGTTATAATGCCGAAATGTTAACTGAACGGGACCTACTAACTCCCCCAGGAGAAATGTTTTTAGAACCTTTACGTATGACAGAAACAGCGTACAAGCTCCTGGTACCGTTTTGTGGTCCGGTGTGTAAGTTTTATCTTTTGTTGACTGGGAATAAAATGTCGATAGATGGATATAATATTTTCAGTAAAATCGTCATACAAGTTTACAGTGATTCAACTTGTACTGTATATAGACAATGCAGGTTTATACATATTAGGATCCTTTAAGCAGTAATATTGAGCCCCCCCAAAAAAAAAATTAAAAAGAGGTTGTGATTTTAACGTAAGGTGTGGTAATGATCCAACCTCACCTGTAGCCATAGTGAACCACCTGCCTCTTGCTCACCTGTAGAATTGTAAGTAATGACATAGACAAACAAATAAATAAATAAATAATTGTTAGCTTGTGTTTGGGGAGGACATCTCCCAATAAAGAGTTAAACTGCTTGAATGGTAAGTAATCGTTTAGCTGTTTCATTAGTTGCGACCTCTGTGATGATGGTTAGTGTTAGTGGGAAGAGGGGGGAGGAGGAGGAGGTGTGTGGGAATGTAGGTGGAGGGTTATGGGAAGGGTGGGGGGGGCTGGAAGGTGTAGGAATGTAGGAAAGGGGGAAGGGAAGGAAGGGGTGTGGAAGGGGATCACAGTGGGGTGTGTTTTTGTACGTTCCTCGGTGCAGTTATTCTTCGCCTGTACCGCACTTTCTCACCACCTGGTTAATATCACTGAATAATGTTAATGTTACAGACGTGTACGTGTAAAGGTCAACTGTAGTTTCAAGAGAATACAGTAACATACAGTAGCATTACAAGGTGGTTACGTGGTGGCCTGAAAAAAAAAGTCAAATTTGGTTAGGTTAGGTTTAAATCAGGTTAGGTTACTATTTTATTTTCCTTGATTCACTCATGGGGTCAAACTGGATTTTTTTTATATAGTTATCATCCTAAAATATGCACCAGTGATAACTTTAGTATCGTCTATGAGTTGATCAATACACAATGACACGTTTAAATCGATTTGCTAACGTTTGATCAGTGAAAATCTCCACAATCTTAGCTCACACAACACAACCTCGTCCGCCTACTGGGCCCCGAGTGGATCAAAGCTCATTTAAGGAAGAACTAATATCTGTTATGTGAGGTTGAAGTTCTCTGCCTTAACACAAGAGTTTAAAAGCCAGACCACAGAGTATTGAACACAAGACGATGGGATTTGTTTTGGGTTAAGATGTAATGGATAATGTAAACAACTAAGTCCTATAAACAATTGATATGTCACAGTAGATATGCATGACTATTTTTTTTTAGTTGTTTGCACTTTAAGTCGAGAATATCTTGACGTAAACTGTGTAGGTATTAAAGATGTTATTTAGTGTAAGGGAAAGATAATGGTTGCCACATGTGTCTAGTCACCCGGAGCACTTTGTTTATAGTCGCAAATTCATTCTACGATTTCAATTACCTCAGTGGAAATAAGACTTTAGCATTGTTTGTTTACCTGTACTGTCTGTGTATAATGTCCGTGTACTGTCCATTGTATACTGTGTCTGTTTGTTCACTTCACCCTCCACTCTTGTGTTGTCAGCACGAGGCGAGCTGTGGCGGGTCAATGACTTCGGCCAGCGGATAATGTGTTGTGTTCACCGATCACCACTGTTACCAGGCTTCTTGAGGTACAGTACAGTATATGCCCCAGGGGCTTGAGTTATACTTGTGACGTTATTCTCGTCGTCATGGGTCCACGTGACGTATCTGTTGCGTCACTGAGCCTCCTCCCATGCTCGTTGACTGAACTCTTGAGCAGGTCACCTCAACCTTGAGGGGCTGCGGCCTTCCTCCCTCACCTCCTCTACCACCTCCTCCATCACCTCCTCCCTCACCTACCCCCTCACCTCCTCCACCTTCCTCCAGTTAGAAGGAAACTATAACTTGGCAACTATTTCTTACGACCTCTTAATTATCACTATTACCCCAACTGCGTCATTTACTGCCCTATACTTTCTTTCCACTCGACATAATGATGAGCATCTTGTGTACAGGTAATTTCGTTAATCATTGTTCTCTGGTATTTAGGAGACAATTTCTCATAAATAAACTGCTACTAATGTTTTCTTAGTGTTTAGTTTTTCTATGTATGAAATACTGTCTTTAGTAACTGACTGATGAATTAATTGTGTTTACAGATATATTTTGTGGCCCCTGTTCCTAAAGGTCAAAGGTCAAAGGTCAGGGGTCAGTACACCGAGGAGTAGGTGAAATGTGAGTGACCTTGGCGGGAGGTCTAAATATCTTCTAAGACAAACCTTCTACAATGCGTCCCCCTCTCTGGATTATCTGGTAACTGTTGAAATTCTCTGTATGTCTGTACCTGATTGGTCATTTTTACCCACAGCCATTACATAGCTCATTATGATTGGTCGATATATGAGATGTACGTTAATGACTTGGAGACACAAAAAAATATTAGTTTACCTGTCACGTGTGGGGGTAAATTATGGTATAAATTTACGAAGAAGATTACCTACACAGCAACCCGTTTAAAGAGGAGGAAGTGTAGTGGGGGGGTGGGGGATCCTTACCTCACGTACCTGTAAGAAAAAACTACACAAAAAAGAGATTAACTAGTAGGTGGTGTCTGTCTGTACGTCGGCCTATGTTATTATGTTAACCAAGCCCATTCCTTCCTTCTCGTTCACACACATCCCCACACACACATATACCCCCACACACATATACTCCCACACACACACATATCTCCCCCACATACATACCCCCACACACATGTGACGACTCTGTCCCCTCCATAACCATCACTTACTCCCACTTGACATCAGGAGAAGAAACTGCTTCACCAAGCTACTCGGCCCCAGTGAGCACGGATTCAGGACCAGTTTCCCATCTGACTATGAGACCGAGGTATCGAGGCAAGTGTGTCTGCCTGGTAAGCTGAGTTTTTTCTCTGCGGCCTACGGTGTTCCTCTTCTCT